GCCCGCACCTCACTCAGCCAGTGAGCGGCCGGTCTGTATGTGGGATCAGAACCCTCAGCAGGAGGGCTGCTGCGCTCCCAAGCGGTGCATTGTAGCAGTGCGCCACCGGGCCGGCCCCAATTAAAAGCCATAGTTTGCCAACCCTTCTGCTACAGAAGCAATGTACAATGCTGTACAGTGTGTATGTATTTCACATAATCAGGTGTCACTCAACATATACATCTGTAGTGTACATTTCATATAATTTTCTTGAGGAGGAAAGCTGAGTTACCAGCAGTTATATTTCCTGGAGAGAAGTAATAATACAGTGTTGTGCATTGAGCAATCCATGTACCCTGATGTAGGAAGATGGATGTGTTAACAGCTGCTTATTTTCCAGAGATGAATTTATAACACTGTACCCTGCTTTCTTTACTTAACCTACTGAGGGGAATAAAGTTAGGTGTATTTCTGTCTCGTGTAGAGAAGTGATATATTATATCCTTGTGGAGTGTGTAGTTCCTATAACTTTCATGGAAAGGATGCTGCATTATTAAGAATTATATTTCATCTGGAGAAGTAATTTTCTTCTCAGTGTGTTGTGTGCAGTGCTTGACTGTCCAAAAAGGTAGATCAAGCATGTTTTGGGGATATAAGCAAAGCAGGAGCCCAAAGAAAAAGAAAAAAATTAAAAAGAAGTTAGTATTTCAAAAACCATTGAAGTAGTTAGGAGAAAATTCAAAACTTGATTGAATTCCTTAAATTTATGGTTATTATTTTTTAAATTGTGTATTGAGGTTGGGAGTGGCTCACCATATCTTTTAATGCTTAGGGTCTCAAAAAAATCTTAATCTAGCATTGACTGTATATACTGTGTTACCTTCTTAGGGAAGAGAGCTGAGCTACTACCAAGGGTTTACCACTTAGATGAATAATACATATTTTTAAACAGTGTGTTTTTCACATAAATACTTTGGTGAAAAACTGAGTTTCCAGTAATTGGTATCTTACAGAGAAAGGAAATTCACTTCTGCAGATCTTGTATTTCCTGATTGGAAAGATGAATTACTAGCAGTTTTAGCTCTCCTAGGAGACAAAACTTTCAGGTCTGTAGAACNCTTAAATTTATGGTTATTATTTTTTAAATTGTGTATTGAGGTTGGGAGTGGCTCACCATATATTTTAATGCTTAGGGTCTCAAAAAATCTTAATCTAGCATTGACTGTATATACTGTGTTACCTTCTTAGGGAAGAGAGCTGAGCTACTACCAAGGGCTTACCAGTTAGATGAATAATACATATTTTTAAACAGTGTGTTTTTCACATAACTACTTTGGTGAAAAACTGAGTTTCCAGTAATTGGTATCTTACAGAGAAAGGAAATTCACTTCCTTTTAATGCTTAGGGTCTCAAAAAAATCTTAATCTAGCATTGACTGTATATACTGTGTTACCTTCTTAGGGAAGAGAGCTGAGCTACTACCAAGGGTTTACCACTTAGATGAATAATACATATTTTTAAACAGTGTGTTTTTCACATAAATACTTTGGTGAAAAACTGAGTTTCCAGTAATTGGTATCTTACAGAGAAAGGAAATTCACTTCTGCAGATCTTGTATTTCCTGATTGGAAAGATGAATTACTAGCAGTTTTAGCTCTCCTAGGAGACAAAACTTTCAGGTCTGTAGAACGTACTTTTTCACATATTCTCCTTGGGGAAGTGAATCAGTTGGGAAAGCAGTTGGCTGCCTGTTACAAAAACCAACTATGCTGAATGCTCCAAAGGAGATTTATTTATTTTTTATCCCTTAGCAAGGTATCTAGGGGAGGCAGTCCAGTGCTGGTGTAACAGCTCCAAAACTAGGCTCCTTCTCTCCCCTAGTCACACCCTTTATAATGTGGTCAGCTTCTTCGTGCTTAATACCCCATGGTTACTGCATCACCAGCCTCATAACTTTGTTACAGAAAGGGATAAGGAGAAAGTGCAAAGGGCAAAAAGCATTTTCCAACTAAGTCCATTTTTTTTAGTTAGAAAAGCAGTAGCATTCCTGGAAGCCACATCCGTAAGCTTTCCATTTATATCTCAGGCCAGAACTGTGTCATATGGCAAGCTTTAGCTGCAGGGGAACTTGAGAAATCTGGGCACAGTGCCACTCTGAACAAAAATTCAGTTTGGTTAGTAAGGAAAATGAAGAGAATGAATATTTTATGGCCAACTTGCAGTGTTTTCCATGATATCCTTGCTTAACTGGTGAACATCGGATGTGAAATTCACATATGCAGGTCTGGCCCCCTTAGAGATGGTGTGAGGAAAAAGGAGAAAATCTAGACAAGGACAACTGAAATGATGGGAAAGGAAGGGGGACGGATGGTCCACTGTGGCCTACAAAGGGCACTGGGTTTGGAATTCAAAGTTCTGGCTTTCTGACCTGATTCTTTAACTTATGAGCTGTGTGAATTTGGTTAAGTCAACCTCTATAAGCCTGTCTCCTTGTCTGTAAAATGGGGACAGAGTGCTGGGAATGGAGAAATGGATGTTGGGTAAGAAACTGAATTGTACAAGTAGTTGTATCTTGCATAGGAAAGCCACAGACTTCTCTATGTCATATTCTTCATGCAATCTCTTTGGGGTGGGAGGGGGAGTAAATATGACTTACCAGGAGTTTCTATTTCCCATAGGGAAGCAACATTCATCTCTGGAGTGTGTACTTTAGGTAATCTTGGGAAAGAAAAATGATTTTCAGCAGCTTTAGCTCTCATACATAAGCAATGTACATCTATGTGGAACAACTACTTCATGTAACTTGTTGGAACATAAACTATTGCTAACTCTCATATTTCATATGACCCTGGGGATGCTGAATTTGAACGTCTCTCTCTCACGTTGTTGGTGTTCCTCGAAAGTTTCATCGTTTTTGATGATCTATTTATATTTAGAGATGAGATTCTAGTTTAATCAGTATCAGTAATAAAAGCTAAGTTCCTCAGCTTAAGAAAGAATTCTGATTCCAGTGCCTTAGTTATTCACCAAATATCTAGTGAGAGCCTATTATATGTCAGCCAGTGCTCTAGGTGCTAGGGATATAATATGGACAAGACAGAGAAGGCCCCTGCTTTCATAAAGCTCACTTTGTACTGAGAGAGACAGCAGTTATATAGAGTGAGGTGAGGAGATGGGAATATGCCAGCAAGGTGGTCTTTCCTTTTCAGTAGGCAGAGATCTTGTTTTCCGGATGTAACTATGGCGCCTGCATTTTTTTTTTTTTTCATTTTATCGAAAATGCAAGTAACCTGAACTTTACTTTTGTATCTGACTAATGATTTCAACCAGTATTTATTGAATACCTTCTCTGCCAGTCACTGCTGAACACTGGGATATAATGGTAAATAACAGATCCATATAGCTGGGTAGAATTGTATAGAGATGAATTGGGTGCGTCAAAGTTGCCCTCGGGTTTAATGTTACTTGCATATATCTCCCTGATAATGTCCCTACAAAAGTGGACGTGCACTGAGGTGGAAGACAAAAAAAGAAAGTGGACGTGTGTGTATTTGGGGAGCCAGGAGGTTAGCCAGAGCTGGAATTACTCATAAGGAGTAATAATGGAGTGTAAAGACGAGCGAAGGCAACAGTCAAGGTAGTCACGTGAGGATTGGCACTGGGTTTTGAAGAACCAGAATGAACTGGATGGCTGAGGTCAGGGAGAGTAGGTAGAGGGAATGGAGAATAATCCAAAGGGCAAATCATGGAAAAAAGATCCAGAGTCAGGATCAGGCAAGGGATTTCAGGGGACCAATGGGAATTCAGAAATGTTAGGTTAGAATGTGTATGATAGCAGAACAGGAGACGTTGTTGTGAGGGTCAGTTTGTGTGGGCCGAGACTGGGAGTTTGTCCTTTTATTCTAACATAACAGGCGATCATTCTTAAAGGTTCTTAATGGGAGCTATTTTAAGCAGATGAAATATACTAGTTCCTTACTGAGATACCCCATTCAGACTCTTTATCCAGCACCCTTTCCATCCCTAACGCACCCTTCTACAGTTTTTCTGAAGGATGAGGTAGTCACTGTCCTCCAGGCTAAGGGAGTCTTTGATAAGATGAGGTACCCGGCTTAGGTTGGAGGAAAACTAGGCACCGCTTGTTGGCAGGGCTTGGAGGGACCGCCTTCTTCTACGGCACCATAGAGATGGCCCTCCCGCTTCCTAGAGAAGCACGGGTGGATGCACGAAGCCGCTGTGACGCACTACCGGCCGCGCCACTTTTCTTCCGGCCCCAGAGGGTAAGGTCCGTGTCCTGTGCATCTGGGGGACCGTTGACACCGCTCCGCGGGGAGCCGCCGAATTTCATGGTGAGCTGGCTAGGCCCCAGGGAGCGGAAAGGAGCGGGTTCCAGCGTGCCTCTGCTGGGTCGGCGGGCCGGAGGCTGGTATGGGAAGCCTACCCCGGCATCGATCCCCTCCGGATTGTTGCCTGCGTGTGCCGCCGGGCATTTGGAGCACTCTGGACAGCCCGGACGGCCTCAGCCTGCAGCCTCAGCACTGCAGAGCCCAGTGCCCCGTACAGTGCTCGGCACAGAGTAGACGCCTAAGAAGATGGCGGAGTGAATGAACGAATGAATGAATAAATGATAATTGCGTGATGTATAGAGGATCCACATCTGTGACCGGTGTCCGGAAACGAAATCCTGGTGCTCAGAATTCTCGGTCCCTCTACCAACTACTTACCCCAGCTGATCCTGCAGCTCAGAAACTTGTTTAGGGACTATTTTAATAGGAGACGGCAAATAGTGTAAAGCGCAGTAGGTGGGGAGTTTCGAAACCTGGGTTATACTTCTGGAGGGTGGGCTTTTTCTTGATCTCTAAAGTTGAATTCTCTAGTAGTCCGTGACTTGCTTTCCTTACAAGGCTCAGTTGACAGCATGTATGTGATAGCTTGCAGGCAAGGGTTAATGTCTTCCAGTAAAATGTTACAATCCATTACATGCCAAACATTACACAGAATTCAGGGGTGGGGCTACAGAACGAGTGAAGTTAAAGTCTGTCAAGTCGGAAAATGCTAGAAGATATGCATCTGAGCCGATTTTGGTGATAATATTTTAAACTACATTTCTTCAGTACTTGCCATATACCAGGCACTGTTCGAAGCAGTTGTGCTAATTTATTTAATCTTCACAACAGCGTATTACCTGTAGTTTTTAAGTGAGGAAATTGGGGTACGGAGAGAATAGATTACTTATCTAACGCAGTTTGCTGGTAAGTGACCCAAAGCTGCAGAAGAGAGAGTTTAGTATGCTACTACAGCTTGGATCAGTGTGTTATTTGGTGCCAGGAGGCAAAACAAGAAGGGCTTTAGAGTAGAGTACATTTCAGTGTGGTCTTATTAAAGAAATTGTGCTTTCAAATTCTTGACAACCCCCACCTGGTTTGTCCAGACTCTTTCAGCTAATTATTGAGGGGTAAGAAGGTGGCACCGGGGAGAGAGTGTACAAGGTATGAGGAAGAAGCCATCTCCCTAATAGTTTAGTAGGATGAGGCAATTAAGAGCCTCTCTTCTTTTACCATTCACCATAGTACATATCTCCCCCTGGATCTACAGACAGATCTTTTTTTAGCATCTTAAAATCACTAACAATTAGATTATTCCACAATAGGCATTTGTGGGAGCACCTGTACATTCCTTTCTGGGCAACTTATAGACCTGAGTGTTAGCAAACTATAAGCCGTAAACCAAATTTGGCCTACCACCTTTTTTAAAAACAACTTTTATTGAAACACAGGCAAGCTCGTTCATTTACATATTGTTTGTTTCTGTTTTCAGACTACTAAGGCAAAGTTGATTAGTTGTGATAGAGACCATGTAACCCATTTAACCCATGAAGCAGAAATAATTTCTTTACTATTTACAGTTTTCTTTACAGTAATAGTTTGCTAACCCTTAACAGAGACAAACTGCTAACACCTCAGATAATCTATGATTGGAGGAAAGTGGTCATAACCAAGATATCTTTCCTTCTTCATAAGCTTTAGTATTAAACATAATCACCTCTAACTCCTGTTGAGTGCTACCATGTGGCAGATATCTTTACGAATGCTTTATGTGAATTAACTCAGTCGAGGATTCACAGAATGTTAGAGCTGGAAGGGCTTATGGGTATTATCTAATTTGTTACCTTTTTCAGATAAATAACCTGCCATGTAGGCCCATTCACATGGGCAGTGGCAGAGCAAAGTTTCTTGACTCCCAGTCCAATCCCCTTTCATCTTATTCTGAATGGTAGGCCAATACCATGTCCATTGGATCTGGCATTTTTTTTTTTGTTTTTGATCCTGAGTTGTTTTGTTTTTTGTTTGTTTTGGTGCTGAAACCTATGAGTGAGATGTGTCATTTTAAAAAAAAATGTTTCTGACTATAAAAGAAATACATGTTTACTGAAGGAAATGTGAGACTTACAGAAAAATATAAAGGATGAAGTAAAGTGGCCAGTTAACTGTCCTAGAGATAAGTGTGTTAACGTTTTGGCGGGTGTATTGGTTTGTTTCTCTTGCTTATAACAGTACCTGAAACTGGGTAATTTATAAAGAAAAGAGGTTTATTTCTTACAGTTTTGTAGCCTGGGAAGTCCATGGTCCAGGGGACTCCTCTGGCGAGGGCCTCCTCTTTGGTGGTAACTGTACAGAATCCTGTGGCAATGCAGGATATAACATGGCAAGAATGCCAAGAACTCTCTCATGCTTTTTATAAAGCCACCAGTTAACACCAATGATAACTCGTTACTCTATGAATGGATTAATCCATTCATGAGGGCACAATCCTCACAAACCAATCGCCTCTCAAAGGTTACACCTTTCAAATATCCTAAGTGGATTTCCCACCCTCTTAACACTGTTACAGTGGGGATCAGGTTTTCAACACATGAACTTTTGGGGGACACACTTGACCCATAGCAGAAGGTAACATATCTTCATTGTAGAATATTGAAAAAATGCAGAAGCATTTTCTTCATGTCCTTATTTTATGTGTTTTATTATATCTGTGTATTGATAATAGTTTGTTTATTTAATGCTTGCTTAGTGGTAGTGTATTTTTTGTTTTAGTGTTTTGTATCATTCTGTTGTTTTTTTTTTTTGTCCTTTTTGAGACCGGCTGCACCGCGCTCAGCCAGTGAGTGCTGTGAGCGTACCGGCCATCCCTATATAGGATCCGAACCCGCGGCGGGAGTGCTGCTGCGCTCCTAGTGCTGCACTCTCTCGAGTGCGCCACGGGCTCAGCCCTGTATCATTCTGTTTTAACACTGTATTTTCTCATGAATATTCTTTGAAAATATGATTTTTAATAGTTTCATGATCTATCATACTGATTTTTCATTGATGTTTATTTGCCTGTTTCTTAACAATTATAGTAGTAATTTGATCTCCGTATGTAAATCTCTCTACCTGTCTCTGATTACAATTTTTCACTTTTCTGTGATTGCAGAAGTTATTTATTTTATATATATATTGATTTGATATATATTCTCATTGATTGGCTCACTTGGTTTGAACACAGCCTTGTAACATCAAGGTCAAAGGTCAAATCCCCATATTGGCCAGCAAAGAAAGAAGGAAGGAGGGAGGGAGGGGGGGGGGGGGGGGGGGGGGGGGGGGGAGAGAGAGAGAGAGAGAGAGAGAGAGAGAGAAAAATATAGATAATAGAGGAAGTTTGGGAAAATCATTCACAATTCATCATGAGGATTGTTTTTTTTTCTTGATCTTATTCACACGCATTGTGTGTGTGTGTGTGTGTGTGTGTGTGTGTGTGTGTGTGTGTGTGTGTGTGTGTGTGTGTGAGTGACTGGCTGGTATGGGGAACTGAACCCTTGACCTTGGCATTACAAGGCTGCGCTCTAACCAACCACAGGCATATTTTAACAGACATATGATGTTGTAGTTGAAATTTTCATATCCTGGGTTTTTTTCCACTTACGTGTAGCATAAACATTTTTCCAAATTGCCACATATTTCATTTTTAATTATCTTTATGTCTGTATAATTTCTACCATGTGGATGTACCATAATTTGCTAAACCTCAGTGTCCACAACAACTGTTTTTTTCAACAATACTACAGGGTTTTTTGTTTGTTTGTTTTGTTTTTTTACAGGCAACAGAAGAATTCCATTTTTTTCCTCTGGGGAATTACTTCTTTATGAGAAAGTTCCAATAAAATTACTAGGTGAAAGAATTATGTCATTTTTATGACATATGAGGACTCTGAGGAGCTTCTAAGATACACTGCAGGTGTTGTGTATAAAGACTGAGTATTCTGTTCTGAGTTCTTGTACCCACAAAATAGTGATCACAGCATCCCAACTACAACGTAATTTGATGTAAAAAATGATTCTTCATTCTTTTAGTTCCCATTTCCTTGATTTCCAAAGAGGTGGAACTTTGTTTTGACACATTTATTGACCTTTTGTAATTCTTGGTGTGTTTGTTGTATTTTCCATATTTCTATTAGATTATCTTTTTTCCTTATTCATTTGTAAGAAGTCTTTATATATTAGGTTTATCTACACCTTACTATATAAATCAAAAATACTTTTCCTAGCTTATTTGTTTTTTAATTTTATTTGTATTTTAGATATACAGAATATTGCTTTTCTGTGGTCAGATGTATTCAGTTTTGTCCTGTGGCATTTGTACCTTTTTTGTATGATGCTTGGAAAGATCTGTCCTAACCCTAAAATCAATCATTTATCAATACTCTATTATTTTGTGGTTTTATTCTTTATATTTAACTTTTTAATCAGTTTAGGTTTATTTTGGTATATAGTATTATGTAGGAATCACTACGTGTTTTTTTTTTTTTTTCTTTTTGTCTTTTTTACTGACCGGTAACGGGATTGCAACCCTCGGTGTCGCGCCCATACTGGGGACCGGCAACGGGATCGCAACCCTCGGTGTTGCGCCCACACTGCGCTCAGCCAGTGAGCGGGAACTGGTCTCCACGTGGGATCTGAACCCTTGGCGGGAGTTTTTTTCCAGGTAGTGAACAATAGTCCCAACATAATTTATGAGTAATCTGGGGTTTTTTGGGGTGATTAGAAATGCTACTTTTAGGGCCGACCCCGTGGCTCACTAGGGAGAGTGCAGTGCTTGGGAGCGCAGCAGCGCTACTGCCGTGGGTTTGGATCCTATATAGGGGTGGCCGGTGTGCTCACTGGCTGAGTGCAGGAGGGTTGTGATCCCCTTACCGGTCACACACAAAAAAGAAATGCTACTTTTATCACATATTAAATTATTTTTATGTATATCTTTTAGGGGATTAGAGATCTTTTAAATGTATAAACTCACTGTTGAGGTTTTCCTAGCCATACTCCTTTGATTATTTTATCTGTTACTCCTGCGATTTCAATTACTCTTTTCATGTTGAAAATTCTACATACTCATGAGGGTTGGCTGATTAGCTCAGTTGGTTAGAGTGCGGCCTTATAACACCAAGGTCATGGGTTCAGATTCCTGTACCAGCCAGCTGCAAAAAAATAAAAGAAAAGGTAATGTCAAAAAATTCCAAGTACATGTATATGTTTTTATTCCCCACCTCTTTCCTATATTCCAGATATATATGTTCTACTTTCTGTTTTGATATTTCAAAACTAAATGTATCTTATTCCTCCCCAGACCAGTGTTCCCACTGTCACTGTTATCACTCAAACCAGAAATTGGGTTATTATCTGTGACTTCTCCCTTTCTCTCACACCTCTCTTCAGTATTCATCCAATCCTGTTTATTCTTTCTCTTAGTTAGTTCAGTCCCCTTACTGGACTACTGAAACAGTCTCACAAGAGGTCTTCCAGGCTTTGTCTTGTACTCCAGGCTCCCACCCCTTACATACACTCTTTCTCTGCATTGTGGGCAGAGGGATATGTTTTTTTAAGATGACATCTAATCATGTCTTTCATCAGACCCTTCTAAAACCCTTTTATGGCTTTTTGCTCACTTTTGGGTAAAGTTTTTAAAATGCTTGGCAGGGTTCTGTTTGATTTGTCCTTTGCTTGCCTTAGGCTTCATATCTTACTTCTGGTTCTTAATATTTTAGCATTACCGGGTTTCCTTCATTCTTCCAAAGTACTGTGCTTGATTCCTTTCGTATGTCCTGTTTCATCTCTCTGGTATATTCTTTTCCCTTTTCACCTGTCTTGTTCCTATTTACCTGTATTTCAGAGAGGCTTGATTCTCCAGACTAGATTAGGTCCCCTCTGCTCTAATTCCATAACACCCCATACTTCCATTTTCATACCTCTCATATTTGAAATTATTGGTTTATTGTCCTTGTTTAGCTATGACATAAGCTGCAGGCAGGCATGGCATTGTTTGATTTTTTTTCCCCATTGTCTAGCATTGATTATACCCAAACTCAACTCTGCTGCATTAGTCTCTGTAGCACTGTGTGGTAGTTGACAGATCCCCTGTATGCCCTTCTAGTGAAATAGGATCAGGAATTCCCAGGTAAGATCTTCTTAAACCTTCAAAACTCAATGCAGAGGCACAGACCTCGATGAGAATCCCACAAGACCAACGTTATTATGTATGTCAGCAGACTCATTCTGTTCTTTTATGCCTTCACAGCTCTTGACTGATAAAACTATCTCTCTTCCTTTTTTCCATGAAATAATGCTGCCAGTTTTGCTTCTTACTTCAGGGTTATATGGAGAGATATTTTTAGGTGAACAGTTGTGATTTTGATATTTCAAACACAATATAAAAAAAAGTACAATATTTCTGTACTATTTTTGCAACTGTTTTGTAAGTCAAAAATTATTTTATAATTGCAGTAGTTTTTTTTTTTTTTTTTTTTTTTTTTCGAAGCTGCAGCCTACTCTCTTATATTGAGCTGGACCTGAAGAAAAACAATTGAACTGATATGACATCTAGAAGAAAGGACATTCAGAGTATCTCTAGTCTGTATCAAGTAGAGAGAATTACCTAATCACTATCCAGTCTCCTTGACATATGGCTGAAGTAGGTGAGTCAGACTTAATGTGGTAGCCTTTCTATGTGACTGTTTTCCCATGTAGCTTTTGATGATATTAATGGCTTTTCATATAAATTATTGTATGATGTAAATAATGCACGAATTGACATGACTATTTCTATCTGTGTAATCTTTTGTCTTTATAAGGTAATAAATACTATTCTGATTTGTTCATCAAGTGCTTGAGTGTTGATGGTTTGTCAGTCGGCCTGAGCCTGTCACTTCCTGTATAGCTAACAAATGGGGTTTGTGAATCTAGAAGGCTGCAAGCCAATGCTGATTTTTGCTGGTGTAGTCACATTGGTATCTGGAGAGGTATTATGTGAGTTATTAGATAGTATCCCTAGGTAATAGCTCTTTGTCGTTTTTATGTGTGCTGGAACAGTGACTACCGGCCCCCTCCCCCTTTTTTCCCTGTCAGCAGTGCTCCCAGTTTTACAAACCTGAAGTGTTTTCTAATGAAAGCAGAAGAAGATTGTGAATATTGAATATGCAAGGAAGTGAAGAGAGAGAGATTGGAAGAGAGACTTATCCAGGTAAGTGAGCAGTGGATAGCCAGTGGGAGATACAGCCACGCAGTAAGAAGGCTTTGGAGGTTTTAGAAGCCAAACCGATTGAGGCTTAGGAGATAAAATTACTATCTCTTATAGGGATGTTGGGGGCAGGGGTGAATGAGCACCTCTGGGGCCAGCTTTTCCCCAGTACTCATTTTATGTGTCTCATTTCAAACACTCGCCCTTTTATATTCCCCCATTTTTCACCATTTGAATACAAACTATCCATGTTTCCTGTCCTACCTTAATCTTTGCCTGTGTGTTGTTTTCCATTTGTCTCCATTGTCTGTCATTTTTCTCACTCCCTGGGTGTCCAGCTGCCCTTTCCATGAGGTTTTTTCATTAATGGTGATCACGGTATCCTGGTGCAGATCTCTTCCACTACTTCCAACTCTGAATTACTTGCCATACGTGCTTTTAGTGGTCTTTACTCATAGTCCATGACTGAGGCCTGTCAAAGTTAGGGTCTTACTACTTCAGGGGCCTCTACTCTGCCTTGCGTGAGAGATGCTCACTTTGATGATTTCTTTTAGGTTGGGTGAACAAGCCTGCTTCAGAGCAGGATGTCTCTGAAATTGACTCACCAGAGATAGTAGCAAAGAGATTCCATGATGGTGAATACCAGGATTCTACATTTGAAGAAAAATATGCGTGTGAGGACATGAAGGAAAACCCTCCTGGAGAGGTTCCTGGACCATGCCTTTTCCAAGAAGGAGGTTTTGGGGAAATAACTTTCATCCACAAGGAAGAACCCCCTGAAATGATTAGTCAACAATATAATTTTGAGAAAAGCTTGCTTTTGACCTCAAACCTTGTTACACATCTCAGAGTTTCTACAGAAGAGAGCCTGCATCAGTGGGAAACAAGTAACATACACACTAATGAGATTTCTGACCAAAGTAAATGTCCACCTCTCTCCTTACAGGAAAAGTCTTGGAAATGTAACGAATGTGGAAAAACCTTTACTCGGAGCTCAAACCTTACCCAACATCAGAGAACTCATACTGGAGAGAGACCCTATTCATGTGAGGAATGTGGCAAAGCCTTTAGTCGTAGCTCATTTCTTGTTCAACATCAAAGAATTCACACTGGAGTGAAACCATATGGATGTGAGCAGTGTGGGAAAACATTTCGATGTCGGTCATTTCTTACTCAGCATCAGAGAACCCACACTGGAGAGAAACCTTATAAATGTAACGAATGTGGGAATTCCTTCCGCAATCACTCACATCTCTCTGAACATCAGAGAATTCACACTGGAGAGAAACCTTATAAATGTAATAGATGTGGGAAAGCATTCAATCAGAACACACACCTTATTCATCATCAGAGAATTCACACAGGTGAGAAGCCTTATTTATGCAATGAATGTGGCTCTTCTTTTCGCAAACACTCAAATCTTACACAACACCAGAGAATTCACACTGGGGAAAAACCCCATAAGTGTGATGAATGTGGGAAAACTTTCCAAACAAAGGCAAATCTCTCTCAGCATCAGAGAATTCATACTGGAGAAAAGCCCTATAAATGTAGGGTATGTGGTAAAGCCTTTTGTCAGAGCCCATCTCTTATTAAACACCAGCGAATTCATACTGGAGAAAAACCCTATAAATGTAAGGAATGTGGCAAAGCTTTTACTCAGAGCACCCCGCTCACTAAACATCAGCGAATCCATACAGGAGAGAGACCCTACAAATGTGGTGAATGTGGTAAAGCCTTCATTCAGAGCATTTGTCTTATTCGGCACCAGAGAAGTCACACTGGAGAAAAACCCTATAAATGCAATGAATGTGGAAAGGGCTTTAATCAAAATACCTGCCTCACTCAGCATATGAGAATTCATACTGGAGAGAAGCCCTATAAATGTAAAGAATGTGGGAGAGCCTTTGCTTATAGCTCGTCTCTTACTGAACATCACAGAACTCACACTGGGGAGAAGCTGTATAAATGTAGTGAATGTGAGAAAACCTTCCGCAAGTATGCACACCTTAGTGACCATTACAGAATTCACACTGGTGAGAAACCTTATGAATGCATTGAATGTGGAAAATTCTTCAGACATAGTTCAGTCCTTTTCAGACACCAGAAACTTCACAGTGGTGAATAGTCCTGGCATTTAGGTTATGCCAGTTTCTGTAGGGAGAGTGACTAGGAGTCAGTCTGGGAGGTGAAGGGCAGGTAGAGTTCCTGGAGGGAAGATTGAAGGAGCCTTGGCTACCTTACTCTGAGAAAAGTATTTCCAGAAATGGAGGTGGGGGCTTAAGGAATGCAGAGCCTACTCCAGGTGGAGATATGAGAACACAGGGTAGAAAGGAAATTCCTGCTTTTCAGATAAAGCCTGCAGGTTGCAACTCCTCCTTCCCTATGTGACTCTTACACCTTGAGGCATTTGTTAAGGTAGCACTTGTGTTTCCTTTACTATACCTCTACCCCACCTTCCAACCTTGTCACCCATGTTCACTGGCCAGTAGGTAGAGGTGCTTTTCCAGACACTGCCTGTCAGTTTGGAAGTGGCAACAGTTTTGATGTAATGCTAAGTTTAAGTTTGGGGCAGCTATCACCATGCTATCATGGGGGAGGCCCCTAACTGTGGAAGTGGTCCCTTGAAAGAGAGACAGAAACAAGTGAAAAAGAATCTGTAATCATTCAACAAGTAAGGAAATGTGGTAAGAACTGGGTTGATCTCCACAGATGTGCCAGTGAATAAGACTTTTATCAGGGTGAGGCAGATCTTTCCTGATCCTTTCAAGCTGTTGGGTGACTTAGGGCTAAGAAGGAAATGGGAGGTCAAGAGAGACTTCAGTGATGCTGGTTTGTAGGAAGGCAGTCAGATCTGTTCAGAGACCCAGGGAGCGGAAGACCCAATCTCTGTCCCAGAAGAATAATGGCTTATACAGGAAATAAATGGTTTGTACTAGACTATTGGTGATTAGAGGCCTCAGAACAGGAAGGCTGCATGTTACTGAGCAGGCCACCTACAAAATCCTGCCCTGTGCTAAGGTGTACACCTGTCTCTTGTAAATTTGACTGAGCCACTGGTTTACAGGGAATAGGGGAGAGGGATCTACTGGGACTAACAGTGTCCTAACAAAATGGGACTTAGTTTGTTGGCCTTTAGGGGAAAGCATTTTTTTTTTTTTTTTTGTCTTTTGT